TAGTGACACAATAGATGACAGCCTAGGAAACCCTGTGGGGCAGTTCTCCTCCGTTACACCAGAAGGCACTGTGAGTGGATGATCTGTAAGATATATATGAGTATATAGTGACACAGTAGATGACAGCCTAGGAAACCCTGTGGGGCAATTCTCCTCCGTTACACCAGGGGGCACTGTGAGTGGATGATCTGTAAGATATATAATGAGTATATAGTGACACAGTAGATGACAATCTAGGAAATTTTGTGGGGGAGTTCTATTCTGTCATACGGGGTTGTTGAGAGTGGAAGCCAACTCCACAGCACGAACAGCCGTAACCTCATTCTTCCTACCATGGTTTCTACAGAAACAGTCTCTGACATGTTGAACAATATTCTGTATGGCAGACAGTGCAGGTGAACCCTCATGAATTCCAGTGACCTCAAATCAGTTTGTGGACAGGAAGGTTATGACAAACACCTTGCTAGAAACAATGTCATCCATCTCATATTGTAAATCAGTCGTGTTGAGTCCATTTTATCGTCGTCCCTTCTCCCTGTACCGTACATCTTTCCTATGGGCGTAGTCACATGTGTTCATGATTCAGGATGGTGCCTGCGCCGTGCCCTTGAGCCCCGTGAGTTCGTGTCCTTTGTGCTCATATAGTGACTGTCCCTCCTTGGTAACCATGGAAGGAAAGCTATAAGTCAGACAGTGGCAATGTGTGCCTCACATGCTGAAGGGACTGTGTCCCCGAGTTTCACATGTGAAAGACCCTCAGAAGCCCCACAAATTCCTCCATGAGGTTGCCTGAGTTACTCGAGGGGCACTTCCGAAAGTTGGTGGGAAAGTTGGATTCTTTGAATTCCATTTTTCCAGGAACTTTGTGAAGCCCCCTCGTGCTCCTGCACTTGGAGTGGATGATCTGAAGTCTGCCACATGGACGTGTGCTGGGATTCAATGTGTGGTGAAGCCATGGAGATGAGGGGCAGCCTCAACCAGAGGAGACCCGAGTACACGTTCATTATTCAGCACGGCAGTTCTGCCAGCAAGGCTGGGCACTCACGAGGCCAGCAGGATGGCGGCGGTACCCACGAGCTGCAGCTTCCCGCGCAGCACCGACATGCACGACAGGAACCTGTCCAGGAAGTTAACAGCCAGGTACAACGTCTCGGTGCGTAGCTTGTACTCCTCACCGACCTCCACCAGCCAGTCCACCAGGATGGTGCGCATGCCCTCTGTGATGTCCGGCTGCTTCCTCATGTAGTGGGCTTTTGGCCTGTGCCTCATCTGTATGGGAAGAGTCTCTCCGGTAAGTAGCTGCTTTCTGCAAGGAGCCCCACAAAGCACTGTGCTTCTCATTAAAGTCCCAGGGGACAGAGTCCGACACGGAGGCAGTTGTATCAGCACAAGGAAGGAAGCTCTGGAATTCTTGCCTGATACACAGGTGGGAAGAAGGCATTGGCAGTCCCATGTGGGAGGCCAGGGCTCTAGGCCCGGCCACTGTACCCCACACGCAGCCAACAGCCATCTAGCAGAGGAGGCTAATGTGTTGCTATGATGCTGAACAGGAAGACTAAGACAGACTAGGAAAAAAGGTCTGCTGATGTATTTCCCTGAATACAATCTGTGCAATCTACTGCAGATTACAATAGATCAGTCTATACAATAGGTTACAACAGATCAGTCTGTACAACCTACCGTATAGACTACAATAGATCAGTCTGTACAATCTATGGTATAGTTTACAATAGATCAGTCTGTACAACCTACCGCATAGACTACAACAGATCAGTCTGTACAACCTGC